AGTGGTCCTGTAGAGGAGGCAGTGGTGCTGTTGCCACTCTGCAGAAAGGAATCTGAGGCTTGAGACGTAAAATAAGTGGCCCGAGTCACACAGTGACCGGTGGCAGGGCCAGGTTCAAGTGCAGATCCACTCCCACGGGCGCCCTAACCCACCTCCCTCACCCCTGCCCTAGGGGAACAGCCCAGTCAGTCATGACAGATGTCACTGGGGACCCAGGGGCCGACACCTGGGTGTTGACAGCTTGTGAAGCTTGAGCGAGAGGGCTCTCAGGTGGCCAGCGTGGGAGGTGACGCTGCCGTCAGCCAGGGTGAGAAACCACCAGGACAGGAGGTGCCTTTTGTGCGTGTGGCTGGTCGCACCAGGAAGCACCCGGGACTCGGTGCTGGGGAGACTGGCCTGGGAGCGGGCAGGGGAGGGGCCCGGTTGGAGGAGGACAGCCGTCTGTCTCTTTCTTCAAGCCGCCCAGCCGTTCAGGGTGCCAGGCCCCTGGGTCTCCACGAAGGAGGGGGAAGCACAGGCTGCAATCCTGGTTCTCACCGCCAGCTCAGCCCTCTCACCACGGCCCCCAGGGGACTGCAGCCCACGGTGAGATGGCTCCGGGCGACTTGGGCAAGTCCCGCCGTTTTCCTGGGGCATCAGGGTGAGGAGGAGTGAGGCTGCAGGAGCAGGAACGGCCCAGTAACTCCACAAGTGCTGGTTCCCGAGCAACCCCAGCCTGAGGTTCAGACAGAGGCCTCTGACCGGCTGGACACACGGGGGCACGGGAGGGCTCCGGGGCTGCTTGCCTCTCACCCTGGTGCCTTCGGCTACGCCACAGAGCCTCCCAGACACCTGGTCAGGGTGGAGGGAGTTCTGTGGACCAGCCTGGGACTTGCTGGCACAGAGAGGCATGGGAGGGGGGGAGCCGAGCTGGGTCTGGGGAGGTGGCCCTGGCTGATTAAGATACGGGCGGGACAGGCCTGCTTCCCCTAGATCGGTTCAGCTGCCTGCACTCTGCCCACCCTACTCAGCTGGGGCGTGGCCAGACTGGCTGGGTGCCTGGGCAGGCACATTTGTAAACAAGGGAGCTCCTCTCTTCCCCTTAGCCAGCTGTGGGGGCCCCAGGGGACCAGGTTTCTTGGTTAGCACATAAAGATTCTTCTCTACGGATCTCTCCACGATGATGAAAATAGACACTAAGAGGCGTGCCCATCCACACTCACCCCACTGGCCAGCCTGGGAGGGAGGGACAGGAGCTGAGGGCTCCGGGTCTGGGGCGGCGTCCAGAGCACCTCGGGCCCCAGTGTGGTCACTGAAAGGTGGGGAGGAACTGACTGGGGGCAGCTGGAAGGGTTTGCAGGTTTGCCCAGGAGGTCAAAGTCTCTTGCCCCAAGCTTCAGCTCATTGTGTAGGGGCATGGGGGGGGGGAGGGGCAGGGGAACCCAGGTGGGCCTTCGACACCCGGCAGCTGACACAGGATTGACTGAGTTCCAACACTCAGCCTGTACTGAGCCTGCACCAGGCAGACGTGACCCGAGCCCCGCGCTCTGGGATTCCGTCTGGTGAGGAAGCCGGCAGCATTCGACATCGGGGACTCTTACCTGCAACCCGGCGGGTTCCTAATACCCTATGCAAAGCACTTAGCCTGGTGCCTGGCAGGACGTTTCCAGCTCAGTAAGTGGCAGCTATTATTAGCTGTTATTACAAGAAGCTGCAGAGTAAACGCGGCACATCTTCCTGGAGTGCCGATTTCCCTCAAGGATTAGGGCAGAAAGCACATCCCTATTTTTTACGTCAAAATGACAGGCGTGCGCTCGAGTAGGATGCAAAACGCATTTGGGTCTTTTTTTTTTCACATCAAACACAGGTTTGAGGCTGGCACTGCCCCGCCCCTTCGGCCTACTTGCTCCTTCCACCCCCTCCCCGTGGACACAGGGACACATGGATGCCCCTGTCAGTCAGGAGCTTGCAGAGAGACAGCTGGAGACACAGCCCAGGAACGAGCAAAGCCCCTCTACTTGCAAAGCGAGGTCTCCACCTCTTAGGCCCCTGGTGTTTCCATGCTGGTGGAACGGGGCCACAGCTCCTTTGTCCAAGGTAGCACACAGGATAATGCGTGTGGAAGAGCCCGGCACAGGCCATGGTATGGTATGTACTTGATGAATGTTGGGTAGGGCCTGGCTTTGCGGTGCAGTGGGTGAAGCCGCTGCCGGCAGCGCTGGCCTCTGTGTGGGCACCGGTTCAAGTCCCGGCTGCTCCACTTCCCATCCAGCTTCCTGCTAATGCACCTGGGGAAGCAGCAGGAGACGACCCATGTGGGAGACCTGGGTGGCTTCATCGTGTTCCAGCCCCTCATTGTGGCCGGTTGGGGAGTGAACAAGTGGGTGGTGCTCGCCGGCTTTGAAGAACCTGGATACTGTAATATCAGCCTTCTTACTGATCTGTTACTGATGGTCTTGCAGAAAATGAACTAGATTGAGAAAGGTTCGGGCCAGTTCTTGAGGATTCTTAACTTTTTCTAGCCACTCGTCGTGAATCTGTCCTCTGAGAATATTATCTAAATCTTTTGGAACTGACTTAGGTGACATTAAATTGGTTGAATGACTTATATTTTGAAATGGCGACACGGAGCAGACCATACAGTAACAGTTCTGGGGGCCTGGAGCTTGGGCTTAGACGGGTTTTGCAACATCACAATCATGGTTAAGCTTGCAGAGGCGTGGTTCTACTTCATCCAGTCCTCTCAGCTGAACGACGACACAACAATATCGCCCCATTTTACAGGCGACAAAGCTAAGGCGAGGAGCAGCCGTCTGGCCCACTGGTTAAGACGCCTTCATCCCGCAGGGGATACTGGGTTGGGTACTCGGCTCCTGACTGCACTTCCTGCCGCAGTGCATGCTGGGAAGCCATGGTGACAGCTCAGCTGCTTGGGTTTCCACCACCCGTGAGAGACCTGGGTTGAGCTCCGGGCTCCCGGCTTCAGGCCCCGCCCCCAGCCCCGGCCACTGTGGGCATTTGGGGGTGAACCTGCAGATGGGGGCACCCCACCTTTGCCTCTCAAGTGAATGAACACTTTTTAAGGTGAAAAAGTTAATTATTGTGCCTACCTTTATGTACATTAGTAAGTAGCAGTGTCAAAAATTAGAATCTGTGGAACTGGAATCCTTTTTTTTTTTTTTTTTAATATTTATTTATTTATCTGGGGCAGGTGCTGTGGCGCAGCAGGTTAGAGCTCTGGCCTGAAGTGCCGGCATCCCATATGGGCACTGGTTCTAGTCCTGGCTGCTCCACTTCCGGTCCAGCTCTCTGCTGTGGCCTGGGAAAGCAGGAGAGGATGGCCCAGGTCCTTGGACCCCTGCACCCACATGACAAAGAAGCTCCTGGCTCCTGGCTTCGGATCAGTGCAGCTCTGGCCATTGCAGCCATCTGGGTAGTGAAGTAGCGGACGGAAGACCTCTCTCATTGTCTCTACCTCTCTCTGTAATTCTGTCTTTCAAATAAAATCTTTTTAAAAAGATTTATTTATTTATCTGAAAGGCAGAGTTAGAGAGATAGAGAGAGAGAGAGATCCTCCATCCGCTGGCTCACTCCCCAAATGGTGACAACAGCCAGAGCTGTGCGGATCCAAAGCCAGGAGCCAGGAGCTTCATCTGGGTCTCCCACGCGGGTGCAGGGGCCCAAGCGCCAGGGCTATCCTCTACTTCTTGGAACTGGAATCTTTTAACCACCTCATTATCTTATCTCTTGCTATGCACGCTAGGCCTTGTGGAACGTTGAACTCATCGAAATTTTTTTAAAGATTTACTTATTTATTTGAAAGAGTGACAGAGCCGGAGAGATAGACTGAGATCTTCCATCTGATGGTTCACGGGTGGCAGGGGTCCAGGCACTTGCGCCGTCTTCCACTGCTTTCCCAGGTGCACTAGCAGGGAGCTGGACGGGGAGTGGAGCAGCCTGGACGTTCAACCCTCATATGGGATGCGGGCGGCGCCTCTGGATGGCTTTAAACCCTGGGGCCCTGACGTTTGCTTTGCTTTCTTACTGTTTCCCCGACTCCCCTTCGCCGGTCCGGCCCAGTGCTGCGCGACCTTCCAGTGCACCTCACGTGTCTATCAGAGCCTTGCGGACAGGCTGCTTAACGCGTGTTTGTTTTGCCTTTCCGGAGAGCCTGTAAACACCTGGAAGCCAGAGGCAGCCTCGCACCGCCCAGCACCGGGCAGGGACGCCCGGGAGCGCGTGGACGGCCTCTGGACCAAGCGCCCTCCCCGCTTCGGCCCCTGCCCAGGTCCTGGACGACCACTCCGCTTCCTCCTCCGAGTCCCGGCTCCCTCCACCCCGATGCCCTCGGGCCTCCCCAGCCGGCCGAATCCAGCGTCCCCCGCCCCGGGGGAGCATCTTCAGCGTCCCCTAGCGACGACGCGGCGGCTCCTAGCAACCGCATCCAGGCTCCCTGACGACGGAGGCACGCAGGCCACGTCAGCGCGCCGCGGCCACGCCCCCGGCGCGCGCTGGCCCCGCCTCCCCGCGCCTCGTCCGCCGCCGCCGCCGCCGCCGCCGCCGCCGCCGCCCGAGACTCACGCAGAGCAGTTATGGCGGATCCCGCAGCCCCCGCGCCCGCAGCTCCCGCTCCCGCCCAGGCCCCAGCCCCAGCTCCGGAGGCGGCCCCGGCCCCGGCCGCAGCCCCTGCCCCGGCGTCGGCGCCGGCCGCCGGGCCGGACTCGACCTCCGGGCCCTCCTCCGACTCCGGCCCCGAAGCCGGCTCGCAGCGTCTGCTGTTCTCTCACGACCTGGTGTCGGGCCGCTACCGCGGCTCGGTGCACTTCGGGCTGGTGCGCCTCATCCACGGCGAGGACTCGGACTCCGAGGGCGAGGAGGATGGCCGCGGCAGCTCGGGCTGCTCGGAGGCGGGCGGCGCCGGCCACGAGGAGGGCCGGGCCAGCCCGCTGCGCCGCGGCTACGTGCGCGTCCAGTGGTACCCGGAGGGCGTCAAGCAGCACGTGAAGGAGACCAAGGTGCGGCCGGGCGGGTCGGGCGCGAGGGGCGGGGAGGGGTCGGCCGCGGCCGCCCGGGCGGGCGGGCCGGCCGTGCCCGGAGCGCCGCCACTGCAGTGGCTCCGTGCAAAGTCATTGCACCAGCTCCGGGCGGACACGCCAAGCCGGCGCTGCTGGCCTGGGCCCGGGCCCCGGGCTTCCCGGCTCGAGGGGGAGGGGACCTGCCAGCCGCGCCGGGCCGGGCTTCGGCCTCCAGGTCGCGGGCGTGCCGCGCTCCCGCGGGGGGCAGAGCTGCCCCCAAGGAGCGCCCTGCTGCATTGTGCGTCCGGAACGGCGGGCCGCGCCGCCCGGTGCAGGGAGGGAGGGGTCGCAGCTCTCGGGGCCGAGATCGGGGGACGGCCCTGGAAGTTCCCCAGGTGCAGAAAGCCCCGCGGGGCAGCCGGCCTGCCTCTTTTTGTCTCACGGAGCCGCCCCGGTTCTCTGACTGCAGCGGGGAGCTTGGCGTGTGAAATTCTCCAGGAGGTTAAATAGCACCGGGGTGGGGGTGGGGGTCCTGACGGCGGCCTGGGCGGTGGGGGACTCCCGCGTGCTTGCGGACTTTTTGGGAGGACAGATGATTACAGGACCATGGATAGGGGACCGGCCCCGACTGGGGAGCCTGGAGCGTTTTTCTGGATTCCGAAGCTGTTAGGCAAACATCAGAGTCCCATATGGCACTGGGGTGCGGCTGGTGGCTGTCGCAGTTTTTAGACAACAAAGGGGCTTGTCATCCTAAACCTGAAACCCTGCACCCAGGTTGGTGTGGTAGCTTGTCCACGCCCCCTCCCCGTGTGACTAACTGTCAGTGGTCACACACACCTCCATCGCACACCCTCTCGTCCTCACCTCCACCCCTGCCCTCCGTGTGAAACGGGAACCCGGCACCCGGCCGGCCTGCGCTGTCTGATCTCACAGGCTCCACTTGAGAAGTTAATCTGGGTTTCTCTCACGCCGGGAGACAAAGACCACGGAGGAGCAGCTCCGAGCCCCACTGCACGGGGCTCTGTGAGGACGGCTGGGCGGGGACAAGGCCCCTCGCCTGCCAGCGCTTTCCTGGTGGCAGAAGTGACTGCTGATCCCAGCAGGGTCTTTCTCTCGCTAATGCGCATGCACCCACAGGCCCAAATCCACACACAGGCCCGGGCCTCCCCTCAGAAATGCAAATCAGGCAGCCGTCTCCGACTGGGTATACGTTCATTTGCAGAAGTCTTTGGAAAATACTGCTTTTAGCCAGGGATGCATGTTTAAAAAAATGTGCGGGTGCTCCGTGCACGCCCTCATTGTCTTGCGGGCAGGTGCTGACTGCTGTCCCCGGGAGGTGGTCACCTCCGGTCCTCTCTGGAGGCTGGTGACTTTCGGGATGCAGCTCACTTGACTCCAGCATCTGCCCGGCACCCAGGAGGCAGCTGTTTATCAGTTGCCGCTCCTGCCCAACTTGACTTTGGTGGTTAACTTTGTTTACAGCCACGCTAGGTGCGCCTCCCTCACCATGTGTAATTATACCAAGTTTGCCTTAAGATGCCTATTTAGGGAGTCAAGTGAGGATGACTTGCAGGCACCACTCGAGTAGGTTTTAAGACGGCCCTCGTGTGACTCGCCTGGAATCATTCAACTCCGTTTTGCCGCCCCGGTGGTGGTGGTTTCTTTGCCGTCATGGCTTTTGGACTTAGCAGAAGCCCAGGGCGCAGGGACCCCTCGGAAGTGAGTGCAGTGTCCGGATCTTTTGAGGGCCTGGAGATAGGTCCAGCGGTTGGCACAGACGACCTTGGTCCACTGCAGGTCTCCTTGCAGCACTGTGGACTAGGGAGATGTTCCTCTCATCTCCTGTTCTTCTAGATTCCGTCACGGCGATGGCCCGCTGTGGAGACCATCAGACCAAGGCTAGGATTTGGTTCTGGTGCCTGCCCCGGCAGTAATCCAGTGATGAGATTTAGAGCCCAGTTATCAGTAGAATAGCATGGGGCACACTGGGTTCTAGTCCCAGTCGGGGTGCCGGATTCTGTCCCGGTTGCCCCTCTTCCAGGCCAGCTCTCTGCTGTGGCCAGGGAGGGCAGTGGAGGATGGCCCAGGTGCTTGGGCCCTGCGCCCCATGGGAGACCAGGAGAAGCACCTGGCTCCTGCCATCTGATCAGCGTGGTGCGCCGGCCGCGGCGGCCATTGGAGGGTGAACCAACGGCAAAGGAAGACCTTTCTGTCTCTCTCACTGTCCACTCTGCCTGTCAAAAAAAAAAAAAAAAGAATAGCATGGGGTGGCATTGAGGAACTTTGCCTTTTTTGATAGTGTGGAGTGAACTTTGCCTTTTTTGATAGTGTCCCTTTAGTGTGGAGTGTTTCTGAGGCTGTGGAGGATTTTTTTTTGTAGTTTTCATGTTGAGTTGGAGGGCAGTGAGTGAGTTTGCAGTGAACAAGTTTACAAGGAGAGAGAGAAACTGGGCAGCAAGTCCTGCCCTCACCCCGCCACCTCTGCGCAAGTGAGCAGTGCAAATAAAGGAGTTCTTACAGCAGCCCAAATGGAGTTCCTTTGGAACTGGACGGAAGAGAGTGACCGGGGCCTCTGAGGTGGGCCCGCCTGTCCGCAGCCTGCTGGTGCCTTCAGCGCGCTGGCCATTTACCCTTGAAACTTGAGGGGGCGTACCCGTCCCCGCCAGCGGTCATCCGTTGCATACATTGTGGAGTGGAGCCCAGATGCGGGCAGCCTCTCCTCTCCTGAACACCGGCGGGCCTGTGGCTCTTCCTGGCCCCCGTGGGAGGAGCCAGGACTGCAGCCTCCTTGTGTTTGCCCGTCCTGCCTGTGTTTGCCCGTCCTGCCTGTGTTTGCCCGTCCTGCCTGTGTTTGCCCGTCCTGCCTGTGTTTGCGCGTTCTCCCAGCCCCCCTGTGTTGTCTTTTGCTGAGAGCTGCCCCGGCACTGCGGGTGTCCGGGTTTGAGACACAAAGCCTCCAACCTGAAGCCGTGTGTGATCACCCTGCTTTTATGAGGCTGCCTAAGAAGCAGCCCAGTGACAGGTCCCTCAGGAATTGGCTTTTTAGTTTATTTTTGGCTCCTACTTAGGCCAGCATTTCCATGGGGAAAGCTTTCAAGGTGCAGCAGCGTCACACAGCACGTGAAGTTCGACTCGCTTGTCGGGGTGCCGGGCCCATTAGAAGCAGTTGTTCCCAGTGATGTGACAGGAAGAAGTTATGTAAGGTGGACGGATGCAGGACCAAGTGCATTCTATTCAGATGGGATCCCAGCGCCTGGGGATTCCGGCAGCGCTGGCATTTTACTTTCTGCCCCTCGGCTTTTCCGCTTCTAACTAACTCCTGGGCCTCAGCGCCGGAGAGCGTCTCTGTCCAGATGCTGCCTGGCTCAGGGCCACTCTGACCAGACAAGGGTGCGTTTTGTTTTGTCCTGGGATTGGAGTCAGACGTGTGGGTGCCCTCCTCGGCTGGCACCTAACTCTGCACGACCTTGGCCCAGTCACTGCCTCGTTTTCTCTGTCTGCGGTGAAAGACAAGGCCGTCGTTCTAGCCCTGAACTGAGCTCACACAGAGGGACTAGCCAGGAGCGAAGCTCGGGACACCGTTCTGATGCCTGTGCACTGGGCCGGCCCTGTCCCTTCACGAGGTCACGTCTGTGCTCACAGGGCGGTGTAGGCTGGGGGAGGCCAGAGTGGTCGGGAGCTTGTCCTGAGGCCTGGGCACGGCTCGCTGGTGACCAGATGGGTTCCCGGCTGTATTAAGCCCGGCTTACTCCTGAATTTCTTAACGGAAGTCACACCCAGCCTCCAGGGGTTGGGACGCAGAGTCTGGAAGAGGTCTTTTGAAATCCCCAAAGGGCAGGTAGTGAGCGGATGCATAAGAGCGTGGTGGCCCATCACCTTTGTAGTTCGAGATACTAAGCACAGCAGGTGCTGTTTACTGCTGACTGTGCTTACTGTGGGCCTCACACAGTCTTCCCCTGTTAGGAGCTGGGAGCCCTTGGCTCAGAGGAGGAAGTTGAGGGGCAGAGGGGCGGTTACTTGCCCAGCGTCTCGGTGCTGGTGAGTGGAGGAACCTGGGTGCAGACTCACGTCAACGAGGTTTCCTCTCACCTGAGGATGTTTAAGTGCAGGGTTCAGACCACTCCTAGGCCTGGCGGGGTACCCTGGCTGGAGGGCTTTCTGGGGTAGGAGGTGGCTGCAGGTGGGGAGGGAGGGAGGTGCAGGACGTGGGTGGGGCCCTGCCTTTCTATTTGTGCTGTGTCTCTGGCCTTGGACACCTTCTTCCCCACGCTCCGCCATTCTCAGAGTGGCTGCCACGACACGTCTCTGGGGAGCCCCTGGTGCCCGGGGTGGGATGCCAGCGGCCTCTGTCACACGAGGCATCTCAGCGCTGGTTTTACCGCCCACCCCGCCTCCTGGAGCAAGCCCAGTGCCTCTGTGTTCCTGGATTGTCTTAGAGGTGATCAGTGTTTGGAACTCCGACTTGACCTCCTCTCCCCTGGCTGCTGTCATCCTGCTGGTGCTGAGTCACGAGGCAGGTTCGGCCGCTCCGGGAGGGAGCCCAGTCCCGCCTCGGACCCAGGTCCCCAGCAAGAGCCCCCCTGTGGTCCTGTCGGGGACCAGGGGGATTCTTCTGGCTCCTAGGCCAGATGAGGGGCTAAGGTGAAAGGTCTTTTTGGGCCTTCCCCACCCCCGCTGCACTGTTACCGCTGTTCGTTTTCCTGTTGTATCAAGAGGGTTTGACCCACTGTTGAGACTCATGGAATCCAATGGAACCTGTTCAGGGCCGACACCACAGCAGTGCTGGGCACATGGTTGGGTCAGCTGCCCAGGGGTCCCTCTGTGGCTCGCTCTGTGCTCCCCTTTGTGGTTGGTAGAAGCCCTCGGAATTCCCTGCTCAGTACGTGGAGGGTGCTGATTGGCGTTGGATGACCAGGGGGGACGTAGCACCGGGAGCGTTGGACAGTGCTTTCCAGGTTGCAGGGTGCTGTCGCCTCTTTGACTTACGGGGACCCTGGCGTTCCGACCATGGCTCCTTCCTGGGGCTCCACTTGGCTGCTCGGTAGTGCGGCCAGCCCTGGGGCCTGTTAGGAAGCACCTGACGCGTGTGGTCGCAGACAGGGAAGAGCAAGGTGCTGAGTGGAACTTCTTGTAGCTCAGAATAAATTGAATCATGCTAATGGCTCACCCCTGGATTCATCTGCTCCAAGGTTATGTGTCCTTGTTTTGCTGTTTGCGGCATTCTGCAGTCGGGGATCTCACATCCCTCACCCAGGCTGTGTTGCGTGAATCTTGGGGTCACCCAGAGGGCCCCCCCGCCCCCACACAAATGTGGTGGTCTTCTGGAGCAGGATGTGAAAAGCACATTTTTATTATTTACACACTGCAGGCAGGTGGGCCTCCACTCAGAAGTATTCTGCTAACAGTAAGTCTTAAAATGAATGTCCTTTTTGGATTAAATCTGATTTGGGGGAATTTCAGTTTGTATATTTTGAGAGACTGAAGAAGCATTTAATATTCTGCAGCTAGCTCAAAGGGTGTGACACTTGGTAGGTCACTTTTGGTTTAGATTGATAACGGAGCTATATTTGGGAAACAGTCTGACTATGACAATTTAAAGCTTAAAAAAAAAAAAAATTAAGACACTGAGTCATGCTTGCAAAAAGAAGCAGTCGGTGCTGCCCGACAGCGATGCAGAGCCCGGCCGGCCCTGTGGAGATGCCTGCAGAGCCCGCTGGCCCTGGGGAGGTGCCTGCAGAGCTCGCCGGCCCTGTGGAGGGGCCTGCAGAGCCCGCCGGCCCTGTGGAGGTGCCTGCAGAGCCGGCCGGCCCTGTGGAGGGGCCTGCAGAGCCCGCCGGCCCTGTGGAGGTGCCTGCAGAGCCGGCCGGCCCTGTGGAGGTGCCTGCAGAGCCGGCCGGCCCTGTGGAGGGGCCTGCAGAGCCCGCCGGCCCTGTGGAGGGGCCTGCAGAGCCGGCCGGCCCTGTGGAGATGCCTGCCGAGCCGGCTGGCCCTGGTGCAAAGCAGCCTTCATTTGCATCCCGCAGGTGAGGCGGGTCTTCCTCCTTGCTTCCCTCCCCGCCCCCACCGCGTGTGGGAGCTGCTGCGGGGGCGGGGCCGCTGAGGCTAGAGGTGGGCCACCTGCAGGACTTGGCTGCGGTCCCTGTACCTGCAGGTGGCGAGCACCCAGGAGTGTCCCCGTAGCTGTCTGCTGCTGTTGAGTTGCTCAGGGGAGTGAGGCCCCTGAGGTTGAGGACATCGTCTTCAAGGCAGAGAAGGGAGCGTCTTTCCTGGCGTCTTTCCTGGCGAGGGGCCCAGCACCCCTGCTGCTGCAGGTGCCCGCCTGCCTGAGCGTCTGCCTGAGCCTCCTCCTGATCTGCGCGTCCCTTTAGCCTTTTGCAGTCTGGCCTCACACACGCGCCGTGGTGGCTCCCTTGAAGGTCACAGGTGGCTAGGGAATTCCTGGTCATGCGTCTGCTGGCATTTTTTGACCTCTCAGTCTTACTTCACAGGGCTGACCCTTGCTGGAGTTCTGTTGTAGCAGACTATACCGGCTTTTCCTCCTCTTCTCTTCTCGCGTCGACCAGGGTGTGAGACTTTTCCAAGGACCCGAGCTCTCCTGTCCTGTCCTCACCTCTCCCCACCCACTTGTTTTTTAGCGCAGTGAGGTAGCTCCCGGGTCCGCTTCACAATCCCAGGGGCCACCCACAACCTCAGACTCCGCGGTGTGAAATCTTGGGACTGTCACTGCCCTCCCCACCCCCCACCCCCGACTTTTTAATACGTGCAGACGTACCGCAGCCCTGAGAGACGGCCAGCGATCGCTGATGGCCGTGGTGAGTCAGCAGCTGCTAACATTCTGCACGCGGGCCTTATCTGTGCGTGTGTGAAAATGTGTTTCCCCAAGCCCTTGGTAAGCCAGGAGTAGGCGTGGTGACGCCTCACCTCGTGCTGTAGCTTGCATCTTGTTTTTAAAAGATTTATTTATTTATTTGAAAGGCAACAGCAGTGGTGCGTGGAGGAGGTGTCTTCCTTCTGCTGGGTCACTCCCCAGATGGCTGCAACACCTGGGGCTGGGCCACGCTAAAGCCAGGAGCCAGGAGCTCCACCCAGGTCTCCCACGGGGGTGGCAGGGGCCCAAGCACGTGGGCCGTCCTCTGCCGCTTTCCCGGGCACGTTGGCAGGGAGCTGGGTCAGAAGGGGAGCGTCTGGAGCTCAAACTGGCACTCGTACGGCTGCTGGCAATGCAAGCAGTGGCTTAGCCCATCGTGCCACAGTGCCAGACTCCCGCTCACATCTTTTAAAGCTGGAGCATTCAGCTGCCTGTGGCCTCCATTCCAGCCTGTCCTCAGTTCTTCGTTAGAAGTGGTGCCTCTTGCAGCCTCTGCTTGAATTTCCTCTCTGCAGCCCTGGTCTGCTCACTGCCTGGACTGCCCTCGCCGCCTCTGGCCTCCCTCCCCTTGGGCTGTGTCGCGACCCAGTCTCCTGTCAAGCCTGAGGTTGTCACTGAAGGCCCCTCTCCTGCAGGTCCCGCTCTGTCTACCTCATCAGCCCGCTGCCAGCAGCCGGACTGCCTGTTCAGTTCGCCCCTGCTGTTTTGGGAGCCTCTCGAGAAGCAGCCACTCCCAAGTGCGTGCTGCGACTGATGGAGAGCTCGGCGACCACTTAGCGACTGACGGAGTTCACCCTCACTTACCTGTGAAGGCCTCCGGCTTGTGCTGGAGCTGTGTGGGCCCCTGCCGGCCAGCTCAGCCCCACCCCAACCCCTCTGCAGCGCTCATGCTGGGTGACTAGACCATGTAACTTATTGCCCACGCTGGGTCCTTTGAGAGCTGAAAAATTATTCTGGAGAGGCAGATACGGACATTCTAACACTAAGAAGCACAGACTCGTCAACGTACCCCGTGCTGTGGTTCACACTGGCAACTTCCTTCAGAGGGCGCCCAGGTGGGGCACCTGCCGGGTGGGCCAGGGTAGAGCTGGCCTCACCTGTGGCTGGAAGGCAGCAGGAGCCTCAGCAGTAGCGGAACTGACTGGTGGCCCAGGCTGGGTTGAGGAGAGGCTGTACTCTACGAAGCAGTGAAAAGTCTCCCAGCTTGTTGTTGCCGCTCCGGCTCTCCCTGCCAGCCTTGGCACCGTGGCTCTGAGCAAACTAGAGGAAGCACCCATGTAACATTCAGAGACTGCCGAGTCCGAGTGCCGTCGGTGACTCCGGGCCCTGGGTGGGAGCACCCTCTCTTCACAGCCCCGCTTTCCCAGCTTGTCAAGGGGACGTGATCCTGCCTGTCCTCTGAGCGGCTGTAGTCACCCGAGAGCACCTGGCGGGTGCAGGTTCCCACACATGGGTTTCCAGAACTCACCAAGAGTGCGAATGGGTGTTAGCATGAGGCTGCGGCGCTGGCGATGAGCCTGTGGCCCAGCAGGCCTTCGTGCTCTGCCTGCATTGCGACTGGGCCCTGTGAGAGTGACTGCGCAGCCTGGAGTGGCAGGGGTTGTGCCAGGCCTGTTGGTTTGAAGGCATCAGAGACCATCTATTAAAAATTCATAAGCCACGCCCTGTTTGTTGGTTAAGGGAATGGGAACATAAATAGCAGTGTTTCCCCAAGGCCAGCCGCGTGCTGTCTCCCGGGGCCTCCGGCAGTGCAGCCTGGTCTGGATGGCCCTCCAGGTCCTCTGAAAACCCTGTTGAGGGGCCGGTGTTGTGGCAGCAGGTTAAGCCACCACTTGCGATGCCCACGTCCCATATCAGAGCGCCGATTCGAGTCCCGGCTGCTCCACTTCCATCCAGCTTCCTGCTGATGCACCTGGGAAGGTAGCAGAAGGTGACCCAAATGTTTGGGCCCCCTGCACCCATGTGGGAGACCAGGATGGAGTTCCAGGCTCCTGGTTGTGACCGTTTAGGGAGTGAACCAGCGGAAACCCTTTCCCTTTCTCTCTGTCACTCTGCCTTTCAAATAATAAGTTAATTAAAAAAAAAAAACCTATCAATGTCAGAAGGTTCAGTTGCCTTTTTTTTAAAAAAAGACTGATTTATTTGAAAGAGTTACAGAGAGAGGGAAACACAGGGAGGGGTCTTCCATCCCCTGGTTCATCCCCAAGTGGCTGCAATGGCCAGAGCAGAGCAGGCTTAAGCCAGGAGCCAGGAGCTTCATCCAGGTCTCACGTGGGTGGCAGGAGCCCAAGCACTTGGGCCATTTTCTGCTGCTTTTCCTAAGCCATTATTAGCAGAGAGCTGGATCAGAAGTGACACCTCCAGGACAGGAACCAGTGCCCATAAGGGATGCTCGTCTCACAGGCGGTCGCTTTACCTGCTGTGCCACAATGCCAGCCCCGTCACTCTGCCATTCAAACAAATCTTTAAAAAAAAAAAAAAAAGGCAGCAAGACACAGAGAAAGAGGCAAGAAACAGCTCCTGACCCCTGGTACACTGACCACGTGTTTGCAGCGACTGGAGCTGGAGCCAGGAGCCAGGAGCTCAGTCCTGCTTCCCACGTAGGGGGCGGGGACCCCAACACTTGAGCGTCACCGCTGCCTCCCAGGGTCTGGTGAGCAGGAAGATGGAGTCAGGAGTTGGAAGCAGGACTTGAACCCAGGCACTCTGGCATGAGATCTGGGTGTCTCAACCAGCATCTTTTTTTGTTTGGAAGGCAGAGTTACAGAGACAAAGAAGAGACAGAGATCCTTCATCTACTGGTTCACTCCTCAAATGGCCGTGATGTCTGGGGCTGGGCCAGGCCAAAGCTAAGAGCTTGGAACTACATCCAAGTCTCCCACATAGGTGGCAGGGGCCCGAGTACTTGGGTCACCCTCTGCTGCTTTCCCAGGTGCACCAGCAGGGAGTTGGATCCAAAGTAGAGCAACCAGGACTCGAACCTGTGTATGTATGGGATGCCAGCATCGCAGGTGGCAGCTTGACCTGCTGGGCCACAATGCAGGCCTCTCAGCCAGTATCTTTTTTTTTTTTTTTTAATATTTATTTATGTACTTATTTGAAAGGCAGAGTTAGAAGCAGAGGCATCTGTGGTTCACTCCCCCAGATGGCTGTCATGGCCAGAGCTGGGCCGATCTGAAGCCAGTAGCCAGTAGTTTCCTCTGGGTCTCCCATGCATGTGCAGGGGCCTAAGGACTTGGGCCATCCTCCACTGCTTTCCCAGGCCATAGCAGAGAGTGAAATCAGAAGTAGAGCAGCCGGGACCAGAACCAGAACCCATATGGGATGCCCGCACTGCAGATGGCAGCTTTACCCGCTATGCCACAGTGCCGGCTTGGTCAACCAGTATCTTAACTGGTAAACCAAATACCCACTCCCAGTGCCCCACTTTAGAGAGGGAGAGACAGACCCAGCGAGTGCCTGTAGCTGTCCTGAGGCCTGTTTGTGCTGTCAAAGCACAGATTCTTCTCGCTGGCTGCATGGCAGCCCTGCACCGGGCCAGGGCTGTGGGGAGCAGGGCCTCCCGGGTCGGGGGCTGCAGGCTTTCTGGAGAGATCCGGGTGGTGTTTAGGGTTCACAGGCTACACTGACCCTTTTGTAGCTGCTCAGCTTTGCCGTTGCAGCGTGAAAGCATGGCTGTGTTCCAATGAACCTGTATTCTGAAAACCAGGCAGCGAGCTGGAGGTGGCCCAGAGGCTCTAGAAGGGTCTCGGCCGATAGGGAGAAACGTGAGCCGCACTGGAACAGGCGGGAACGGCCGACGTTCACGTTCACGCATCGGCTTGACCCGGTGCACTGAGAACACCGTGTCTGCAGGTAGTCGGTAGGAAAGTGGTGAAGGGGACAGAGCACGTCCTGACCCAGCGGCTGCCCTCGTGGACAGCCGTGCGCCTGGAGCGACTGGGCGGCAGGAGCTCTGGCCCCTGCCCCCGCTCAGCGGTGTTTCTAAACTGCACCTTGCAGTTTTGAGATGGAATCACTTCCTGTCCTGTCTGCTCTCTCCCCGGCCGGGAAGTGAGCGCAGCTCGGGACACCTTGTTCTCCGCTTTGCCCTCCGTTTCTGGGCCTAGAGTAGGTGCTTTGTTTCATGAGTGAATGAGTTACCACTGGGAGGTGGCGAGGGCCTCCTGGTGAAGTTGGCGCCGAGTTCTGAGGGAGGGCGGTGGGCAGTGTGGGGAGAGCCTCGTGGAGGCGGCCTAGAGGATCAGCTGGCGCAGCAGAGTGGGAGGGCGGGGCAGGCACAGTGCATTCCAGCTCCTGCAGCTGAAACACTGCTAGGACCCCGGTGAGCTTTTTCATGCTGGGTCTTCCCTGTGAACATTTGCCACATAGGAGATTAAACCGATTTTAAAATCCGAGAGCGCTCAGGCACGTGTTCGATTAGCCGTCAGAGCAACGGCGTCAGCACGCGTCCTGCAGGCTCCAGAAAATCCCGCTGTAGACTTGAGCGGGTGAGAGTCGGGGAGGCAAGAGCGGTCGAGTGCCACTGTGGGTGTGGACTCCCGAAAGGGTCTCTCTCCGGGATCTCCGGGCCATGTTTTGAGAGCTGCTGAGCTAGAGGTAGGAGGGAGAAGACAGGAGCAAGTGCCGGTCTGCAGGGTTGGGTCTGACGGCCACTAATGGTCATGGTGCGCAGGTGTTGTGCACCCGCTGTGTTCCGGGCACCTCGGGCAGCACTGTGGGCAGCACTGTGTGTTCAGGTTTAAGCCTCACCTGCAGCACCTGTGAATTTGGTGGTGGTGGTTTACAGGTGTAGGGAGGTCTGAGGCTGTGCTGGGTCACACAGAGGGGAGGGAAGGGGCTAAGCCCCCGCAGTGCCCCCAGAGCCTCGTGCTCGGCTGCCCTGGAAAGATGTGGCATCAGGCGTGGTGTGCAGGATGACAGGGATGACGGGGCTGGGAGTTGGGATTTGTGGGTTTGTAGAGCGAGGCTCCCTCCAGAGTGTGCAGAGGACGGTCTGGTGGCAGTCCCCAGGTGGGGAGGCGAGCTGGTCACATGTCTGGTCACATGTCCATGCACAGCATGAGGTGTGGAAATAGAACTAATTTTTTTCAGGGTTATTCATTTGAAAGGCAGAGTTTGAGAGAGGGAGATTGAGATTGAGATCTTTCGTCTGCTGGTTCACTCCCCAGATGGCTGCATCCACTAGGACTGAGCCAGGCCAAAGCCAAGAGCCAGGAGCTCCGTCTGGATCTGCCTTATGGGTGCAGGCACTCCAGCACTCAGGCCGTCTTCATGCCTTCTCAGGCGCGTTAGCGTCGAGCTGCATCAGAAGTGGGACAGCAGGGACCTGAGCTGGCGTTGCAGGCTGCTGGCGTGGTGAGCAGCTGCTCCACGCAGTGCTGGTGCTGGTCCTGAAGTGCTGATTCTAAACAAAATGGCTCTTCCCTGTGAGCCCACACCTTCCTCCAGCCTTCCGTGGAAGAGAGCGATGCATTCCAGTGCGAGCGGGAAAATCACCTGTATTGGATTTAACGGATTTTTCAAGGATGATTTTGATGATGTTGAGTTTGACCTTAGGACCGAACCCCCGGTAAAATGAGGACTCTTGGCTCTAAAAGGGCAGCAGTAAAGCTCTGGTTAGAGTGGTGGAGAGAGAGGAAAAGGGGCGTTTAGGTGGGGCTGGCACACGGCAGAGCCGGGTGCACTTGGGGGAGGCAGGGCAGGAGAGTGGGCAGTGCTGTGCTGGGACTTTTCCATCAGCAGGAGGGAATGAACCGTTCAGGTGTCTGTCTGCTGTGGTGGACACATAGCAGAACTGACCATTTCAGCCATTTCTACGTGAACAGCTCAGTGGTGCTCAGCACATTTGGCAGCCATCGCCACCATCCAGAACCGGACGGAAGCTGTGCACCTGTCAAACACTGACTCCCCAGGCCGTTACAGTTTATGTTGCTCTTAGCAAAGTGACAGGAGTTCACTGGAGACATTCACCTGCATAGGGGGATGAGAACCAGAGGTGCAGCCGGGACGCCGGCGTCTCGTGTACACAGTCCTGCTGCCAGTAGCCGTGTGAACAGAACGGGGCTAAGGGTGCTATGGCAGGAATACTGGTCCCCGCCCCCGTGTCGGGTTAGTCCCCAAGGTCCTCTGTTAATGGTATTAAGAGGGCAGAAACTTGATCCAGCTTTGGAGTTGAGAGGCGGGGCTCTGGAAAGTGATTAGGTCAGGGCAGGTCATTTAGGGTGGGGCCCCGGGCCTGGATCCCATTGGAGGAGGAGAAACATCATAGGGACATGGGAACACCTGCACCCCAACCTTGATGTGGCGTGGCCAGGGGAAGCCCTTGCCGGAACCTACGTCATGCGGATTGGACCTTGTACTTCCGCGACCGTGGGCCGGTATGAACCTGTTTTCTTTGTAAGATAGCCTGCATCAGGTATTTCAGTGTAGTAACAGTCAGGAACCTGGGTGGGCGTTGTGGTGCAGCGGGTTTAGCTGCTGTGTGGGTGCCCGCAGTCCACATCAGAATGCTGATAGAGTGCCCCGTGCTGGTTTCCTGCTTCCAGTCCACCTTGCTGTTCGTGCATACCCTGGGAGGCAGCAGATGATGGCTTAAGTCCTTGGGTCCCTACCAGCCATGTGGAAGACCCAGATGGAGTTCCAGGCCCTTGGCTTCAGGCTGGCTCACTCTGCCTTTCAAATAACTTTTCAAATGTTTGTTTTCATTTTATTTGAGAGGTGGTGCGACAGAGAGAGCTTCTAGCATTAGACAGCTGGATCGGAAGTAGAGGAGTCGGGTCTCAGCCCAGGCATCTGACGCGCGTGCACGTGTCCCAGGTGGCAGCCTCACCTCGCCACACACCTGCCCTCACTGTGTTTTGAAATAGACCTGACCTCTTTTAGATTTGTAGAAGAGTTGTAAAGATCGTACAGAAAGTCACCTAACATCTTGTATGCTGGGTGTATTGATAAGAAGAAATTAACACGGTCCCACACTATTAACTAGACACTTAAAAAAAAAAAAAGATTTATTTATGCATTTGAGAGGCAGAGAGAGAGAGAGAGATCTTTCATCTGCTGGTTCACTCCCAGACGGCCGCAACGGCTGGAGCTGAGCCGATCCAAAACCAGGAGCCAGGAGCTTCTTCCCAGCTCCTACGTAGGTGCAGAGGCCCAAGGATTCAGGCCATCTTCTGCTGCTTTCCCAGGCCATAGCAGAGAGCTTGATCAGAAGTGGAGCAGCCGATTCACCCATATGGGATGCCGGCACTACAGGCGGTGGCTTTACCCACTATGCCACAGCATCAGCCCCTAACTATACACTTTTATTGGGATTAGCTTTCTACTTATGTTCTATTTCTGAAACCAGCAGCCAGGTGCTTTATCCAGGTTCCCACATGGTTGGCAGGGGCCCAAGTGCTTGAGCCATCACCTGCTCCCTCCCAGGATGCATTGCCATCACCTGCTCCCTCCCAGGGTGCATTTGTAGGAAGCTGGATTGGAAGAAGGGTAGGTGGGGCTTGAACCAGCTCTGATGTGGGACACCCACATGTTGAGTGGCGACTTACCCTGCTGTGCCCAAACACCGCCCTACTGGCTTCGTCTCGACTTTGGGTGCCTTTGCCTGTCATCCCGGAGAGTGGCGCCAGTTGGCGTGTCCATCGTGGGATGCTGCTCTCCCTGCACGGGGTGGCAGTATGTGCTGATGCTGAAAGGCTGGGCCTTCATCTGGCTCTGCCCCGCCCTGCCGCCCGTGGCCTCCCTGGGCTTTGCAGGGAGACTGGTCTGGGTGTGCCCTTTGCTCAGGGGATGCAGTGCTGGGTAGGGGCTGGACCAGAGGATGTTCAGTGAGCCAGGAGAGGCAGGTGGTGGCTCAGATCTGGGGTGGAGTGGATATGTAGACAGGACTAGAAAAGACCGAATCTCTTCTCTTTTCTTTCTTTCTTTCTTTCTCTCTCTCTTTTTTTTTTTTTTTTTTTTTTTTAGATTTGTTTATTTGGGGCCATCGTTGCACAGTAGGTTAATCCAGTGAACCAGTGTATGGAAGACCTCTCTCTCTCTGTAACTCTCTCTCTCAAATAAATAAATAAATCTTAGAGAGAGAGAGAGAGATTTATTTATTTATTTGAAAGGCGTTACAGAGAGGGAGAAGTAGAGGCAGAGAAGTCTTCCATCTGCTGGTTGACTCCCCAGATGGCCACAACAGCCAGGGCTAGGCCAGGATGAAGCCAGGAGCTTCTTGCATGACTCCCTTATGGGTGCAGGGGCCCAGGCACTTGGGCTATTCTCCGCTGCCTTCTCGGGCACATCAATAGGGAGCTGGATTGGAAGTGGAGCAGCTGGGACTGGAACCAGTGCCCATATTGGATGCTGGCATTGCAGATGGCGGTTTAACCCACTCCTCCACAGCGCTGACCCCAGACAGAATCTCATACGGTTATTGGATAGTGAACTAGGTCACCTGTGAGCGACATTCAGCACAGCCCGGCTCTGCCTCCGTTTCCCCGTCGTGGTTAGCAGCTCACACAACACATGATTCCAGGTTTAGGGGGGCTATTCCTGTTAGTTTGCAAACCTGAAGGCTGATTTTAAATTCATATTTATTTAAGTAGATTATATGTGCAAATGACATAGCATTCAAAAGACTTAAAAGGCTATGAAGGGTCCTCAAAATCTCTTGAAAATGTGTATTATAAAAGCATGGATTTCGAAAATTTTTTTCCACCAAAATCAACTTCTCTTCTTAATCTGTTTTTCCACGAACTTGTTGACAGATGCCCATAGACAGTGAAGTATTTGTCTCCTTCCTACCACGTCCACTTCCCATCACTGTGACCAGATACATTCTTTGCAAATTCTAGCACACACGTGTGTACAGTCGCTGTAGATCGAATTGATGTGAATAGTGGCTTCTGAGGCCAGCGAGCCTGGCTTTGCAGTCCAGCCTTTCTCTGCCTCAGCGCATGCGGCTGTGCGGCCTCCATTGGTGCCACATTCCCTCAGCTGTGGCCCTCCTGCCTGCCTGTTGGGGGGCATTTAAGGTCACTCTGGGGAGAGACCAGCTCTGCCTCTGGGGACAGGGCAGGGATCCTCGTTCCTCTCTCAGGGCAGGGACCCCTCGTTCCTCTCTTAGGGCGGGGTTTTCTCAGCAGCCAGAAGGGGTCAGTGATGGCTGGAGACTCCGAGGTATTAGAGTCGAAACAGACATGTGAGGGCACAGAAGGCTTTTTTTCTTTTAATATTTATTTATTTATTTGAAAGGGAGAGTTACAGAGAGGCAGAGGCAGAGAGAGAGAGAGAGAGAGAGGTCTTCCATCCACTGGTTCACTCCCCAAACAACCGCAGTGGCCAGAGCTGGGCTGATCTGAAGCCAGGAGCCAGGAGCTTCCTGCAGGTGCAGGGGCCCAAGCACTCGGGCCATCCTCCACTGCTTTCCCTGGCCACAGCAGAGAGCTGGATGGGAAGTGGTGCAGCCGGGACTCAGCAGGCAGTGGCTTTACCACGATGCCACAGCACCAGCCCCCAGAGGTGTTTGTTTGTTTTTTAAACAAACCTCAGGTGAAAAAGTATTCCCAGAAACCTCTCCAAGTGTCGTTCAGCTGCACGCCTGCATTTTGCCCCAGTCATGGTTGCTCCCTGGGGGCTGGTGTAGTGGTGCAGGGCGTTAAGCTGCCCCTTACAGCACCGGCGTCTTGTTCACCAAGTCCTGGCTGCTCTGCTTTGGATCCAGCTTCCTGCTAATGTGCCTGGGAAGGCAGCAGATGATAGTCCCAAGTAGCTGGGCCCCTGCCACCCATGGGAGACTCTAACAGAGCTCTTGGCTTCCCTCTGGCCCAGCTCCAGCTTCTGCAACCATTTGGAGAGGGAACCAGCAAATGGGAGGTCTCTGTGTTTCTCCCTTTCTGTATCAATCTGCCTTCCAAATAAATACATCTTTTTTAAAAAAAAAGATATATTTATTTATTTGAAAGTCAGAGTTAACACAGGGAGAGAAGGAGAAGCAGAGAGAAAGAGGTCTTCCATCTGCTGGTTCACTCCCCAGGTGGCCACAACAGCTGGAGCTGAGCCAGTCTGAAGCCAGGAGCTTCTTCCAGGTCTCCCACATGGGCACAAGGGCCCAAGCACGTGGGCCATCTTCTACTGCTTTCCCAGCCATAGCAGGGAGCTGGATCGGAAGTGGAGCAGCTGGGACCTGAACCAGTGCCCATATAGGATGCCAGCACTGCAGGAGGTGGCTTTACCCTCTATGCCACAGCACTGGCATCAAATAAATAAATCTTTAAAAGGAGAAAGAAAAGAAAAAATAGAACTGCTCACTTGGAGTTAGGGTTCGGTCTGGGCCCCCCAGAGCTCCTTGCAGAAGCCACGATCGTACGCTCAGAGGGCGCCACAACCCACATGAAGAGGCTGTTTGCCGTGCCCAGGCTGAGTTACGGCAGCCAATGCTTGGGCCGCCTGTTTCTTTCAGGGGACTCCAGGGAGCCATTTCTCAGTGCAGCTCACGGTAGGCGATGGCCGTGGCCTTCCGCTCCCCGGGGAGTGCGAGGGAATTCCCTTGGGAGAATGCATTTGCCTACCTGTCAAGGTCTGCACCCTCTCTGACCCTGCCCCAGACCTGTGCCTCTCACCTGAGCGCGGGAGCAGTTTACAGCTGTGCTCACTGTGGGCGCTCCTTGCCTGACCAGAGTGATCCCTGCATCTAGGTGCCTGGGTACCTCCATGCCTGCAGTCGGGGGGTGGCAGAGGGATGCTAGTGGTGACGTAAAGTTCAGGAACCAAGGTCCCCAGAGGCTGTGTGGTTGAGACCAAGGCAGATGGGAGCCACAAGCAAGACGGGGAAGAAGAGGTGCTGGGAGCTCACGGCGTCGGCTTTCCAAGAGCAGGGAGCCGGTGGTTAATTGCAGTGGAGACGGGTTCTGGTTGACAAACAGAATCTGTAATGTAGGGACTTACACGGGACCCTGTTACCCAGAAGACTTTCCAAGAAGACTCCCTGCTACAGACCCCGGAGCCAGACACTGTCGCTGACTGGGGCTCAACCTGGCTGGCCTTTTTTTTTTTTTTTTAATTGAGATGATTGACATAGAATCAAATGGATCCTTTTCAATTCAGGATTTTTTTGTACATCCATCACCACAGCCAGTCTTAGACTTTTCATCACCCCCTAAAAAACCCATACCCATTAGCGGTCACACCCTCTTTCCTGTCACCCCAACCCTAGTAGCCACGTTCTGTCTCCATTGGTTTGCTTGTTCCGGAGAAACCAGGAGCCCAGAACTCCACCTGTGGGTGCAGGGCTCCAAGCACTTGGGCCATCTGCTGCTGCTTTCCCAGGCACACTGGCAGGGAGCTGGGTTGGAAGTGGAGCAGCCAGGACATGAACCAGTGCCCATATGGGATGTTGGCTTTTCAGGCAGTGACTTTACCCGTTGTGCCACAGTGCCAGCCCTTGGCTTCTTTCTGAGCATCGTTTTTTAAAAATTTGTATGTGTTGTAGTATACCAGAACTTTATTCCTTTTTTGGTTTTTAAAGAATTTATTTGAAAAGCCGGGAGAGATTTTTCATCTCTTGGTTCATTCCCCAAATGGCTTCAACGGGCAGGGCTTGGCTGGGCTGGGCTGAAGCCAAGAACCTGGAGCTCCATCTGGGTCTCCCACATGAGAGGCAAGGACCTAAGTACTCGAGCCGTCATCCGTTGCCTTCCCAGCCGCGTTAGCAGGGAGCTAAATGGGAACGGAGCAGCCAAGACTCAAAATGGTGCTCCAATGTGGGCAGCCAGCATTGCAGGTGGCAACCTGACCACTGCACCACAATGCCAGCCCCTGCGTCTAACTTTTTAAAAAAGGTATTTGAGAGAGAGAGAGAGCGCTCCCATTTGCTGGTTCACTCCTCAAACGCCTTGCAGCAGCCACCTGTCTGGCAGGTGCCCTGTCATTGTTACTGGGCTCTGTGCCAGGCATCTTACCTTGTGCTGGGATTTAACCCCCTGCCTAGTTAGATACGCTGTAAGGGACTGGAGACCCTCAGAAACCGAAAGGGCTTGGAGTCCTAAGAACCCGGGTGCTCGCGCCCCCTCTGCTGCCTCCCAGTCTGCGTTGGCAGGAGGCTGGACTTGGGTGCCAGGGCTGGGTGTGGAATCCCGCACTGCAGCGTGGGCTGTGGGTGCCCTGACCTGCGCGTAACCACCAGGCCACCCCCCACCCCTGTGTTTGGCTTGCTCGGCAGGGCAGCTGTGCCATTTTGCATTCCCACCGGCCTTGTGTGTGTGTTCCTGTTTCTCCACTTCCGCGCCAGCGCTTGGACTGTCGGCTGTGCTGTTCACAGCCACCCCCGTGGTGTGGAGCAGTTGTGCATTGAGATTTGAGCTTCTCCCGTGGCTGATCACGCTGAGCGTCTTCGTGGCTTACTGGCCATTTGTCTCCAGCAAATCCTTCGCGTGTTTTTGCTTTGGGATGTCTGTCGACTTTGCATTCAGAGCCTCCCTCGCCCTCGTCCCCGTGGGGTCTGGCAGGTGGACCACATCTTGCGGCAGGTGCCCTGTCGGTGTCACTGGGGTTTGTGCCCGGCCAGTCTTTATATTGGGGTTTAACCAATGTAAATATGCCGTAAGGGATGTGAGACCCTTAGAAGTGGAAGGGCTTTGTGTCCCAGGTCTTCCCAGGAAGAGGTCCGTTTGTTTTAGAACTGGGATCCACAGTCGCCCAGGGCAGAGAAGGGGCTGCTAAACAGGTCTTCCCTGACAGTGGGCCAGCCTTCAGCTGCTCACAGCTGCGTGTGCCAGGGACAGTCAGAGTCTTCAGAGGCAGCCACTGTAATATCTATTTTTTATACATTAATCATTCTTCTTTTTCTGAATTCTTTCTCTCATAGATTATTTATTTAATGGTAAGACAGGAGCCAGGAACTCCATCTGGGTGTGGGATACAGTGGTCACATAACACCCAGGAACTCCATCTGGGTGAGGGATACAGTGGTCACATAACACCTGCTCCCATAACACCTATTTATTTGGGATCGCTTGTGGTTTGGATCCTGATTCTTTTTATTCAGCAGGATGAGGAAATGTTTGTTGACGGATGGGAACGGGTAACTGAGTCATTTCTGTAACCATTTGGCAGGTTGAAAACAGGATCATGCTGAAGTGAGTGTGTGTGTCTCTGTGTGTACATACCCCTGCCTGTGTGTCTGTGTATATACATACCCCTGCCTGTGTGTGTCTCTGTGTGTACATACCCCTGCCTGTGTGTGTCTCTGTGTACATACCCCTGCCTGTGTGTGTGTCTGTGTGTGTACATACCCCTGCCTGTGTGTGTGTCTCTGTGTGTACATACCCCTGCCTGTGTGTGTGTCTCTGTATGTACATACCCCTGCGTGTGTGTGTCTCTGTGTACATACCCCTGCCTGTGTGTGTCTGTGTGTGTACATACCCCTGCCTGTGTGTGTCTCTGTGTACATACCCCTGCCTGTGTGTGTGTCTCTGTGTGTGCACACCCCTGCCTGTGTGTGTCTGTGTGTATACATACCCCTTCCTGTGTGCATACAAGCCCCTGCCTGTGTGTGTGTGTGTGTGTGCATACCCCTCTTCCTGTGTGCATACAAGCCCCTGCCTGCTGGTAGGAGGCCCTGACTTTTCCCAGTGAATCTGGGCTGCTGCCTCCCAGGTCCTCAGTTCGTCAGTAGTGTAGCTGTCTGCACAGTTCGTCAGTAGTGTAGCTGCCTGCTCAGTTCGTCAGTAGTGTAGCTGTCTGCTCAGTTCGTCAGTAGTGTAGCTGCCTGCTCAGGGGCACACGTGCTGCTCTGTATGCTTGGGACTTTCTTAGTGGTTTTTTGGTAAAGCAGAGAGGCGAGAGGGAGAGAGATCTGCTGATTCACTCTCCAGATGCCTGCAATAGCAGAGATGGGCTAGGCTAAAATCAGGAGCCCAAGCCCCCATCCAGGTCTCCCACGTGGGTGACAGGGCCCCAAGACTCCATCCAGGTCTCCTACATGGGTGACAGGGCCCCAAGACTCCATGCAGGTCTCCCCCGTGGGTGACAGGGGCCCAAGACTCCATGCATGTCTCCCACGTGGGTGACAGGGGCCCAAGACTCCATGCATGTCTCCCCCGTGGGTGACAGGGGCCCAAGACTCCATGCAGGTCTCCCCCGTGGGTGACAGGGGCCCGAGGGCTAGAATTACCACCTGCTTCTAGGATGTGCGTTAGTAGGAAGCTGCACTGGAAGTGGAGTAACCAGCGCTCTGATATGGATACTGGTGTCCCAGGCGTCAGCTTAGCCCGCGGCCCCACAGGACCTGGCTCTCAGTGATGGCTTCAGCACTCAGGGCGTGATTGAATGTGTGAGTGTCTAAAATGTTGCGTATCCACTGACAACAGTTCTCTTCCACCCGGAGCCTGGCTTTGCCCTGGGTCATTCTCACTGTCATACTCAGTCTATGGAATTTAACATTTCTTTGACATTCAGAACAGAAAGCCATTTAGAGGAGCAGATCAGTGACCCTCGTGGTGTCTGAGGAGTTGCTGATGGAGCCCTGCTTGCTTCTGCACACCCGCGCCCCGGAGCTGAATCTCAGAAAAGCAGACCCGCGAGAGCCGTCTGAGGGTCTGTTGTCGGCACGGGGTGGGTGAAGCAAACTCAGGAGTTGGAGTTTTGAGTTAGTGATTTCTGTTTTTGTTGAGTTGTCACCTCGCCTTGATCGTCAAATATGTCCCACTCTTGTGTGTAAATAGTTTGCAAAATTAAGATTAAAAAGCAGTGGTTGGCTGGCGCTGTGGTGTAGCTGGTAAAGCTACCACCTGCAGTGTTGGTTCAAGTCCCAGCTGCTCCACTTCCGATCCAACTCTCTGCTATGGCCTGGGAAAACTGTAGAGAGAGCCCAAGTCCTTGGGCCCTACACTCAAGTGGGAGACCCGGAAGAAGCTCCTGGCTCCTGGCTTTGGGTCAGTCCAGCTCCAGCCATTGTGGCCACTTGGGGAGTGAACCAGTGGGTGGAAGACCTCTCTCTCTCTGCCTCTGCCTCTCTGTAACTCTGCCTTTCAAATGAATAAATCTTTTTTTTTTTTTTTTTTTTAATCAGTGGTTAGCTTACTTTAGTAAATAGAGTAGACTGGACACGTCCACTGATAGCCACTTCCTCCAGAAACCGTGCTAAAATAATTTCTTTGTTTAAGATTTATTTTACTAGGGCGGGCACTGTGGCGCAGTAGGTTAACACCCTGGCCTGAAATGCCGGTATCCCATATGGGCACTGGTTCTAGTCCCAGCTGCTCCTCTTCCCATCCAGCTCTCTGGTATGGCCTAGGATGGCAGTAGAAGATGGCCCAAGTCTTTGGACCCCTGCGCTCACGTGGGAGACCTAGAAGAAGCTCCTGGCTCCTGGCTTCAGATCGGCGCAGCTTGGGCCGTTGCAGCCGTCTGGGGAGTGAACCAGTAGATGGAAGACCTCTCTCTCTCTCTCTCTCTCTCTCTCTCTACCTCTCTCTGTAACTCTTTCAAATAAATAAAAAATAAATCTTTAAAAAAAAGATTTATTTTACTTATTTTGAAAGAGAGGAAGAGACAGAGAGGGTGAGATTTATCTTCCATCAGTTGATGTGACCCCAGATGGTCTCAGGAGCCTGGAGCTTCTTCCTGGTCTCCTACGTGGGCAGGGGCCTAAACACTTGGGTCATCTTCTGCTGCTTTTGCAGGTACATTAGCAGGGAGCTGGATCGGAAGTGGAGCAGCTGAGACTTGAACCGGTGCTCATGTGGGATGCTGGCAGCAGCTTTACCTGCTATACCACAAGACTGGCCCCAGGTTTATACATTGTAAAAATTCCTCCACTTTGGGACCAAAAGAGCATGCTGTTCTCACTTGCTCGCTCGCTCTCTCTCTTTCAAGTAAGAAAATAAGTATTTTTTTTTTTTAAGTATAAACCCACAGGATAAAGAAGGAAAAAGAAAGTGATAACAGAGAAGGGATCTCAAATATTGGGAAGACGGAGAAAGGCGAATGGAAGAGCAAGTAGATAAAGCAAAAATGCTGACAGTGGTAGAGGCAGTGAGAGGGGCTTCAGCTTCAGAGAGCCTCAGGCATCAAATGCACCTGCAGTCACCCAGAGTGGGAGTGAGAGGTGGGCCTGAGACAGGGGAGGCACAAGTGACTGCACCAGGTTCGGGACGCACCTGCGTAGCATCCAGCCATGCCTCACGGCGAACGCCGGCTTCTGCCCAGCTGACCCTCGCTCACCTTCACAAAGCGTCGGTCGTCTTTCGTCTTTCCATTGCCTCGTTCACAGGGACGCCCGCTATGCTGCCCTGGTTGCCCCTTATGCGGTCCTGGAAGGTGTCAGATCTGGAAGCTGACACTGGCAGAGCAGGTGGTGTGCAGCGCCACGTCCCCGTGACCACCGCAGCGTTCCAGACACGGGACTCAGCGCTCCATTGCCTCCCTTCTACACAGGAATGGACATCCAGAAAGCTCCCATGTGAAAGGCGGGGCCAGACCAAGTGAAAAGGAAACCATCTCAGGAAACGCTCGCAACATGGTGAAGAGACTTGGAAGAATAAGAGCCAGTGTTCTAGAAATTGTTTTCTTTATTTGAGAGACAGACCAGACAGAGAGGAGCTCCCACTGCCAGGAGCCAGGACCTCAACCCAGGTCTCCCCTGTGGGTGACAGGGGCCCAGCTGCTTCCTAAGGTGCACGCTGGCGGGAGGCTGGGGTCAGGATTGGAGCTGGGCGCTTAACTGGGGCGTGAACCCAGGCACTCTGACACAGGATGCGGCCGGCTTAGCCACCAGGCCAAACATCCGCCCAAGAGCCAGTATTGTATTCATGAATTTTTTTAAAGGGAATTGTCAAAATAAACAGGAGAGGCTTCTTGGAAATTGCAAATATATTTTTAAAAAAGAGTTGACAGAGGCTCCCAGGAAATGGAAAGGTACTTCAAAAAGTTTGTGGGGGCCGGTGCTGTGGCACACTGAGCTAAGCCTCTGCCTGCAGTGCCAGCATCCCTTATGGGATCCTGGCTGCTTCTCTTCTGATCCAGCTCTCTGCTACGGCCTGGGAGAGCAGCGGAAGATGACCCAAGTGCCTGGGCCCCTGCACCCACGTGGGAGACCCAGAGGAAGCTCCTGGCTCCTGGCTTTGGATTGGTCCAGCTCCAGCCACTGCAGCCATTTGAGGAATGAACCAGCAGATGGAAGATCTTTCTCTCTGTAACTCTCTCTCTCAAATAAATAAATAAAATCTTAAAAAAAAAAGTTTATGGAAAATGGAATCCAAAGATACGTTTATTTTAGTACAAAAGAAAATTTGAAAGCCATATAGTATTTCATAATAAAACAGGTTTTCCACAAACTTTGAAGACCCTTTATCTGTAACATTAAAAATCTGGCATCTGTGAAGGAGAGGGGAGAATCCGGGACGGGAAATTGCAGCCACGTGGACGCTTCCAGAACTGTCAGCCGTGGGGTCACGGTGGCGAGTGGGAAGCAGGCTAACTGTCGCGCTCTGTGATCCCAGAACACGGAGAGGGCAAAGCTTTCAGAGAGAACGGGTCGCGCCAAAGGCCGAGAGTGAAGAAGCTAAAGGCAATGATTCCTGTTTCGGTAACTGGGTAGTGGAGCTAAAGTAGAACCACTCCTGCTTCAGTTCCTTAGCGGTGCGGCTCTCTGCGGATATAATGGAGATTTGAAGTGCATAGCTGAGCGTATAGGAAAGAAAAGGGTAACAAAGAATTAAAGCAGGAACTTACAGCCAAAGGGAGAGGCAGGCAGCTCTCAGGGTGTTTACTGGACTCTGTGGTCGGCCCTAACAAGAGTGGAGGATTGTAATTTTTTGAAGAAAATATTTATTTATTTGAAAGCCAAGAGTTACAGAGAGAGTGAGCGAGCTTGCATTTGCTGGTTCACTCCCCAGATGGCCACAATGGCTGGGGCTGGGCCAGGCTGAAGCCAGGAGCCGGGAGCTGCTCCTGGGTCTCCCACGTGGGTGCAGGGGCCCAAGGACTTGGGCATCTTCTGCTGCTTTCCCAGGACACAGCAGAGAGCTGGATCGGAAGTGGAGCAGCTGAGACACAAACCAGTACCCACATGGGATGCCTGCGCTGCAGGAGGCAGCTTTACCTACTATGCCACACACTGGCCCTGGAGGATTTTTTTTTTTAAGATTTATTTATTTGAAAGTCAAAGTTACAGAGAGAAGGAAAGGGAGAGAGAGATCTTCCATCTGCTGGTTCACTCCCCAGATGGCTGCAGTGGCCAGTTCTGGGTCAGGCTGAAGCCAGGAGCCAGGAGCTTCTTCTGGGTCTCCCACGTGGGTGCTGGGGCCCAAACACTTGGGCCATCTTCTGCTGCTTTCCCAGGCCATAGCTGAGAGCTGGATCTGAAGTGGAGCAGCCGGGACTCAAATTGGCGCCCATCTGGGATTCCAGCGACACAGGCGCCTGCCTCACCCGCTGTGCCTGAGCCAGCCCCTACAGGTCTGTGTTTTAATGGACATGGATGAAGTGTAATCCCCTCAGAGGATCATTCCCACGAAAAGGAGAATCAAGATCTCCCGCAAGGGGCCAGCAGCATGGCACAGGGGATTGTTGGCGCCTGCCGGAGGCAGCGTTGGTGTGATGGAGACAGCCGAGCTGTGAGGCTTCCGAGTGTCGCAGCAGCATGCTAGGGATGCCTGGAGCTCTTGCATGAGTAAAGCCTGCTCCGTGCAGGCCACTCGGAATTCTGTGATTCCACGGAGGACTAGCTGCTTCCAGGAAGTCACCAGACGGTCGAAATCTCGAGCATGAGTCAGCAGGCGTGACATACGGGGAGGTTTCCAGCAAGGCGCCTCAGAGAACAGAGGAGATCGCACTACAAATATTTAAGGTGACTGAAGGGCTAAAAGCAAGAATTGAATCAAAGGAAAGAGCAAGACACAGCTCCCTGAGGGTGTCTTGGGAGTGGGCCTGTGTGGCCTAGCACGGAAGGCACCGGATCCCAAGTCAGAGTGCCCGGCTCAATGCTGGACTCTGGCCTGGACCCTAGCTTCTTGCTCAGGCAGACCCTGGGAGGGAGACAGGCTCAGAGCCGTCCCTGCTTCCCCCGCCCAGCCCTGGGCACTGGGGGCCTTTGGGGACTGAGCCGTGGCTGGGAGCTCTGCCTGCCTTTCTCTTTCTCTCACAAACTCTAATCACTGAGAAAAAGCCCAGTGGAGGGGCGGTCATTGTGCAGAGGTCCTGCTGCTGTGTGGGAGCCTGCAGCCACCTAAGGGCCTAGGCGGGACTCCCAGCTTCGCGTCCAGTCCAGCTCCCTGCTGAAGTCACCCTCCAAGGCACAGGTGATGGGTCAAGTGCTTGGGTCCATGACACCCGGGTGGGTGGAGTTTTAGGCTCCTGGCCTCGGCCCGGCCTAGCCCTGGCTATTTGGGCATTTGGGGAGTGAACCAATGAATGGAAACTCACTTGCTCACTCCTCTCTCTCTCTCTCTCTCTCTCTGCCTCTCAAATACAACTTTCTCTTAAAAAAAAAAAAAAAAAAAGAATATTAAGTAGCAAATAGTGCAGATTCTCCAGAGAAAATTCTGTGAACTGGTGTAAATTCTTTGAGATGGGGAAGGAGGCAAGGCTGGGACTCAGGGCAGAATGGGAGGGCCCCGCCGATGGCGTCAGGAATTCTCCCGGAGAGCAGAGCGCCCTCAGAGCAGGGGAAGGAGACAGCCCCCTCCGGGCTCAGCAGGTGTCGGAGCGCTGAGGGCGGAGGCCAGGCCACAGGGGAACGCACTCCGCAGCACGCTAAGGACAGGGGCTTTCGCCTTAGTTCTCGGTGCCAGCCCCTGTTCCCTGTCAGGAGTGGGGACAAACGCAGACTTTTTCCCGGCAGAAGCTGTGTCCTCACGCACAGCCCTTCAGAGACTGAGCCCAGGAGGAGGGAGACGCAGAAGGAAGGGCCCCGTGGAGGTGGGTGAGGCAGAGGAGGCGCCACTGCAGACAGCGCTCGTCCCAGATGTGGCAAGGGTTCAAGCCGATGTCCTGCATCAGCAGGACACAGTGGACGCGTGCTGCGACCTCTGACCTGTCTGGGGAGAGTGGGAGGGATATTGAGTGTGCCTTAGACACCTGTTCCGATTAAGGGTAACCAAGAGAATAGGAATACGATTTAAAGCTTTCGAACCTGTAGAGGGGAAAAGAAAATTGGAATTTTTTTTTTTAAATTTTTTGACAGGCAGAGTGGACAGTGAGAAAGAGAGACAGAGAGAAAGGTCTTCCTTTGCTGTTGGTTCACCCTCCAATGGTCGCCGCGGCCAGCGCGCTGCGGCCGGCGCACCGCGCTGATCCGATGGTAGGAGCCAGGAGCCAGGTGCTTTTCCTGGTCTCCCATGGGGTGCAGGGCCCAAGCACTTGGGCCATCCTCCACTGCACTCCCGGGCCACAGCAGAGAGCTGGCCTGGAAGAGGGGCAACCGGGACAGAATCCGGCGCCCCAACCGGGACTAGAACCCGGTGTGCCGGCGCCGCTAGGCGGAGGATTAGCCTAGTGAGCCGTGGCGCCGGCTAGAAAATTGGAATTTTTTAACTAAGTCATCATTCTAGAAGGAAGAGAGCCGAGAAAAAGTGTGGTAGGTAGAAAGCCCTACAGATAATAGAAATAAATCCATGTGGCCCACCGTGAGGCCGCGCCATCCCCAGCCCGTGCCATCAAGGACGAGGGGAGAGGTTCTCAAGTGTGCCCCCTTTAAGGGGTTGTCCTGGGATCCAGGAACGCAGGCCCCGATGCAGGTGAGCCCAGGAGGGTAGGGGGAGGCGGCCAGAAGACACCAGATGGGCAGTTTGGTGATGTTCAGGAAAGTCGTGGCTAGAGATTTGACGGGACTGGCGTCCGTGGAGGTCCTGGGAGAAAGGAGGCGGCACTCTGCACACTGGGTGCAGCCGTAAGCGGAATTCCTCGGTCACAGCCGTAGTTAAGTCGCCACTTGGGACACCCACGTCCCCTACTGGGGTGCCTGCTTTGAGTCCTGGCTCCCCTGCTTCTGATCCAGCTTCCTGCTAATGCACACCCTGGGAGGCAGCAGGTGGCTCGAGTACTGTGGTCCTGCCACCCCTGTGGGAGACGCAGGTTGAGTTCCTGGCTCCTGGCTTCACCCTGGCTCAGCCCCGGCTGTTGTGACCGTGTGGGGAGTGAACCAGTGGGTGGAAGATCTTTTCTTTCATCCCCTCTCTAACTCTGCCTTTCAAATAAATAAATGTGGTTGTTTTTTTTTTCTAATCGCCCCTGCAGACCCCTTTTCTGTATTTTTCTTCCCTTTTGCCATTCGTCCCCCACAAAAAGGCCCAGTTTAGTAAAATCCAGCACTGGATAGGTCTAGCCTTAGAGCTTGGAGTGAAGGAAGTGTGTCCAGACGACCATGAGCAGGGCAGGCAACCCCCTGTGCTCCGGCCCACCCCTCCAGGGCCCTGGAGAAGGCACGGCCTTGTGGCCCTGAGCACCACGGATACCATCAGGATTGTCACGCTGGGCTAACAGGCTGCCAGGGATGGGGGTTGGGAGCTGAGCCGCTGGGCTGGGATCTGGGCAGTGTGCAAATCCTTGTGTACCCACCTAGCGTGAATACCGTCAGCCCCCAGACACTAAAGAGGTGGGATGGGACCCCAGGTCTCCTACGTGGGTGGCAGGAACCCAAGAGCTTGAGCCATAATCCGCTGCCTCCCAGGCACGTCAGCAGGAAGCTGGATCTGAAATGGAGCAACTGGGACTCCAGCTCGCACTCCAGGATGGGATGCCAGAGTCCCAAACGTGGGCTCCAGCTGCTGCAGCACCGCACCTGCCCCTCGGAGGGGCCTTTCTGAGGGAGCGACATCTGAGCCGTGGCATCGGCGCAGCGGTGTGCAGCACGTGTCACCGCCACAGCTGTTCCCTGGGGTGGCTCATGCTTCCTCTAGCCTGTGTGCAGCACGTGTCACCGCCACAGCTGTTCCCCGGGGTGGCTCATGCTTCCTCTAGCCTGGGTGCAACTTTTGGCCGTGTCCGTGACCCAGGGCTGTGGGAAATGCAGGAAAGTATCAGGGGCAGGCAGGGGTTTAGCTCAGGTAGAAGGGTCCCTGCTGCCTGCGTGAGATCAGGTTGAATTCCCATCCTGGCCGCAGCTGCTGCAGGTGTTCAGGGAGTGAACCAGTGAATGAGCTCGCTGTCTCTGCCTCAGCCAAGGCCCGTAACGCTGCCTGCACCAGTGGCAAGGCATTCGTGCATCCCATGAGCCCACTGCTGCACTCGGGAGCACGGAAGTCGCCGAAACCACGCTGTGGGGGGACGACCCCAGCGTTTCCGTCCTGGGGGGAGGAGGGCAGGTGAGGGGCGTCAGCCCCAGCCTTGGGGGAGCGCCACTGCGTGGTGCGGTGTGTGCCTGCCGTTGGTTCTGGCTGTCTGGGGACTGCTCCATTTGTGGTCAGAGCAGGAGCAGAGGGCCTCTTGGAGCGACGTCTCCGGCTCTAGAGGGGCTTTGCTCCCCTCTTCTTTCCCAGTGGGCCTTGCCAGCCACCACAAACAACCCGGCAGAAATGGGCTTTTTGTTTTTGTGTTTGTTTTTAAGATTTATTTATTTATTTGAAAGGCAGAGTTACAGAGAGAGAGAGAGAGAGGTCTTCTATCCACTGCTGACTCCCCAGATGGCCGCAATGGCTGGAGCTGCACCGATCCGAAGCCAGGAGCCAGGAGCTTCTTCCAGGTCTCCCACGTGGGTGCAGGGGCCCACCTGGGCACTGCAGGTGGCGGCTGCGCTGGCTGCGCTGGGGCGCCGGCCCCTTGTTTTTAATTTTGTTGGACACCTTGGCTTAGGAGGCCGCTTACCTGATCCTGCCCTGACGTACTCCAGTGGTGCCGGCAGCTCAGGAAGGGGAAGGTGCGTGGACGAGGTTGGCGCTGCAGAGTCCTGGAGGGCGAGTGGTGAGAACGGCACTCACGCTGTCCGGGAGCCCGTCTGTGGCTGTGGACGTTGGTGGTGAGCACCAGGCCGACTTGCAGGCTGCCTGTACAGGACTGTCACCAAACAGTGCAAGGCCTCAGCCTGCCAACCATCTCTGGGGCCGTGTGTCTCTTCCTCCTTGGCTTCCTGTGCCTGCGTCAGACTCCTGCTTCTCTGTGAAAAACAAGTGTTTGCAGCACCCTGCCCTCCCCACCCCTGTATCCTGGAGAGCTGTAGCCAGGGCATCCTGAGGTGGAGAACCAGCCTTGATCTGATGTCCTTCAGGGTGGTTGCGAAGCACGCCTGCTCCTCCAGCATGGGCTCTCCTTGCCCTGCCGTAGCCCTGCTCAGCTGACCGACTCAAGCCTCTGAGACTGACCCCAAATCCAGGTGCCCTGAAGGCAGAATGGTGGCCCCAGGCAGGGCAGCACTGCCCCTGCTCCGCCCACTTTGGTGAGAGCCAAAGCCCACCTAGCATTGGCCCCCAGCGCTGCTTTCCCTGCCCTTCCCTGCCACGTTTCATGGTCAAAATCGCAGCGCTCAAGACTGCTGGAGAGCGCCTGGGGAGGCAAGACTGTGACCGCCGGCGCCTGTCAACTAGCAGCTGATTCCTGGGGGGTGTCGCGCAGGGCGGTGGCGAGCTGAGCTTGCTCGCCCAGTGAGGTCACTCTGTGTTCGCCGTGGGGGAGGTGAGGAAGGGGGTCCTGAGGGCCGCGGCCGAGTGGCCAGCGGTGATGTGTCCTCCTGCTGGTGCACTGCTTCCCCACACTTGGAGCTCTTATTTCACACACATGTGTGTGCCCGTCTAGGAACCCAGGTTTTTTGTTTGTTTGTTTTGTTTTTTGTTTTTTTTTTTGGACAGGCAGAGTGGACAGTGAGAGAGAGACAGAGAGAGAAAGGTCTTTACCATTGGTTCACCCTCCAATGGCTGCTGCAGCCAGCCACCGCGCTGATCTGAAGCCAGGAGCCAGGTGCTTGGGGTCTCCCATGCGGGTGCAGGGCCCAAGCACTTGGGCCATCCTTCACTGCACTCCCGGGCCACAGCAGAGAGCTGGGCTGGAAGAAGGACCAGAACCCGGGGTGCCGGCGCCGCAGGTGGAGGATTAGCCTAGTGAGCCGCGGTGCCGGCAGGAACCCAGTTCTGATTCGGCTCTGGTGGCCACAATGTGGGCCCAGGAATCTGCCTTCCCAGCTGGCAGTCTCTAGGCTGGCAAAACCATGTCCCTTCCTGCTTCCCAAGGACGTGTGCTCGCAAAATCTGCCCATAGCCCTCACATCAAAGCTGGCCTGCATCGACCTCTTCTCTCTCGGTCAGCGGGGCCTAGTGTGGTGTGTCCCAGAACCCAGGGCTCTGCACTTGGCATTGATGGGAGCTGGCCCACCTGAGCAGAGGTTGGTCAACGCTGGGGCCGGCAGTGTGGGGACTTGGCGGCTGTTTTTCTGTCACCACCACTGTTTATCTAGACCACAGGCAAGGTGTGTTGGGAGAAATGCTGGGTGCTGGGAACAAAACCTCACTGTGTTCATAATTTAAGTCATCCTGCATTTGTGGTTTGATCCCCAGGTTTCTGTGCTTTGAAAAAAAGT